AGATCCGACACATATTCAAGGTGAACTGCTTTTACCACGAAACAAACAAATACAGCTATATACACCTTGTATTGACGGGCCTTACGCAACCGGTGTTCGGTCATCACTAAGGGACCAGCGAAATCAATACCGACCCGCGAGAACGGATGGCACTCTGTCACACGAGATGTAGGGAGATCGGACATGACCGGTTGTGGATTGACGGACACTAAACGGACGCAAGTGAGGCATTTGTTAAGAACGGTTCTGATAAGGGTATTAAGCGATAGAATCCAGTATGAACGGTTAATAAGAGATGTCAGAATTCTCGGCCCCCCATGACCGGTGATATCGTGCCAATGGCGAATCAATAAAAACGATATGTGGGATGATTTGCTTAATAAAATCGGGTGTTTCTGTGTATTAGGTATATCGGCATTTAACAAACGGCCGCCTACACAAATTAACCCGCGGGGATCTATAAACGGACGAAGACGTGCCACTGGTTTGACGCTGATCGGAAGATTGTTTGAGAGATCGTGAAACAATTTGCCAAATGCGATTCGTTGAGAACATTTTACAACGACCACGGCGGCGTGGTCCAATTCAGTACGTGATAAAAAATCGGTTTTATGCGCTAGACGTCTACAGCCATTGATAAACCTATACATACGAGCGATAACACGAATCATATGAATGTAAGACGAGAACCGCACGTACCACTCAGGTTCGGGAGGTTCCTTATTATTGGTGATAAACGTCGTTAATGGAGAGGTTTTCATCTCCGGTAAACCGTCAGTGAGTAACTTCGGACCTAACGTCAACCATTCAGTTTCATCACGATATAAAACGTCCGGCCCACCCCAGTATAGTTCATGGTTTACTAGCTCAGCAGGGAAAATACCACGTGACGCACAATCTGCAGGGTTACTAGTCGATGGTATATAATTCCAATTGCAGGCGGGGAGCAACGTCGTCACTTTGTGTACCCGATTTGACACAAAAATTTTAAAGCTATCATGAGGTAATTTAAGCCAGCTTAACACGGTAGTCGAGTCTGACCAGGCATAACTTTGAGTAATTTTAATTTTGCGCTCAAGGGTGAATTTAAGCCGGGCCATCCAACGAGCTAACAAAACGGCGGCACAAAGTTCCAACCGTGGAATCGTTGAGGCCTTAGTTGGAGCCATCTTCGTTTTTGCACCTAACAGAGAAATTACTGGTCCAGAACGACTGCGAAGTCTTAAATATACGACGGCCGAAAAACCCTTTTCAGACGCGTCACAAAACCCGCATAAGTGACCTTGGATACCGGAATGAGTACCAATAAATCGCGGAATGTTTATTTTTTGTAAAATCGGGAGATCCGCCACAAACTTATTCCATACGTCAAGTATTTCGGGGGGCAGCTGTTCATCCCAAGAAATACCGAGTTGCCACACGCGCTGCATTAAATGTTTTGCTAAAAATATTACGGGCGCCAATAAGCCGAGCGGGTCAAATATGCGCGCAATTAATGATAACATGCCTCGCTTAGTTGTTATTAGGTTTTCGGACTGACAAGCATATCTAAAAGTGTCATCCCGTTGCGACCATTGGAGTCCCAAAACTTTAGTACCCCCACCAGTTTCATCATCAAATGATAATAACCCGCATGCTTGATCCTCAGAGGGCACCTGTTGTAATACCTCGATGGTGTTGCTCGACCATTTTTTTAGACTCATACCGGACTGTTTTAATATGTTTATTAAATCACGCTGAAGTGAGAGCGCCTCGGTTACGGTATCCCCTCCGACACAAATGTCATCTACATATGTACTGAATAATAACGCGTCACGAACAGCGGGGACATCAGTACAATCATGTTCGGCGATATGGTGGAGAACCCGAATGGCGAGGAAAGGGGCACAGTTTACCCCGTATGTAACGGTATTTAGCTCGTATTCTTCGAGTGCATCTTGCGGGGATGCGCGCCATAAAATGTGCTGATAACGTCTGTGTTCAGGGTCCACTAAAATTTGTCGGTACATTTTGTTTATATCTGCCGTAAATGCATGACGCGATAGGCGAAATAATACGAGAACATCTATCACGTCCTGTTGCAGTTTGGGACCCGAGAATAAGCACTGATTGAGCGAAGCGCTCGCACATGATTGCGCAGATGCATCAAATACAACGCGAATTTTCGCTTCGACGTCAGAAGACTTGAACACCGCATGGTGGGGGATAAAGTATAACCCCTCGGTTTTTGCTAAAGACATGTGACCTAACGAGATGTACTCTGCCATGAAATTACAATACGCCTCCCGTAGGCGGCTGTCGGACGCGAGCTTGCGTTCAAGTGACTCAAACCGTTTGAGCGCTACCGTACGCGAACCTGCAAAGGTGGTGTCTGCCACCGGTTGGCGAAATAATAAAGGAACTACATAACGTCCGGAATTATCTCGCGAATATTTTTTACGGAACATTACTTCACACTGCCCGTCACACGTAAAGTCATTAGGGGGTGTTTCTGGTTCCTCTACGCGCCAGAAATTATCCATAAGACATTCGATTGAGGAGACCAACGAAATTAAGTGTGAACTGGATACAGGATTTTTCGACAGTGGAACTGGGCCGATTATGATCCAGCCGAAAACGGACCCGAATGCCACCGGATAGGCATCGCCTACCGACACGCGTTTGCCATTTAATATGCGCGCAAATAGATCCGCGCCGAGCAGTAAATCAATCTTATCTGGCAAAGTAAATGAGGGGTCAGCGAGTGCGAGATTTTGGTACTTATCTGCCACCTGATCAGATATCGGTTGGCTGGGCATTTGAGCTGTAATAGTGGGGAATACCCACGCTGTGAAATTGAAGGTCGGGTTAGTCGCAAATCTAGGCTGTATGTTACAATTTACCTGCCCCCTAACGTCCTGTACTGATGTACCGGACAAACCCGAAATAGGGGCGGTCCAACGAGATACTCTTAAACCCAATTGGGCGGCGCAGTCCACGGTGATCGCGCTTATCTGGGATGCAGAATCAACCAAAGCGCGCTTAGTGTGCAACATACCGCCACAGTCGCGGATATGAATTAGCGCGGTCCCAAGAACGACGGACGATGAATTTTGCGCATTACTGCCGAGAAGAGACGATTGTGCCGTGGTTTCTTCGCGGTTCAACTGACTACTATATGTTGGGTTACTGTCCCTATCACTAATAACCGTGTTCGAAGTATGTAACAGTGGATGATGTCTGCGAGGGCAGTTAGTGCATTGCACAGGGGACTTACACTCCGGGGCCCAATGGCCCACGCGTAGGCACCGAAAACAACACCGATTTTCACGCACCCATTTTTCCCGAACGTCTACGGACCATCCCGTAAATTTGTTGCATTTCGATACTATATGCGACCCCTTGCAGACTGGACACGAAACATTCGATTTTGATGTCCCTGTGCTGGTCATTAACGATGTGGACTGTGGCTTTTTAAAATTATTAGGGCCGGAATTATAATGTTTTGGGGTGACATACGAATTTTGAGAAGCGGACTGTTTTGATGGTTTGTGAACGGACTCACGCGGCGCACTGGGTACACACTCCAATATATTAACACGAGACTTTACAAAGAACAATAAGTCTCTAACAGTTGGAAATCCACTTGCGAGCTGAGCTTCAAAAAGCTTAATTGAATACGACGGTAAGCACCGCGATGCCAAAGAAAATAAAATAAAGTCACCCAGGTTCGGAAGTTTCATTGACTCAAGTACTGAAACCCCCTCGTCAAAGACCAATAAAAATTTGTTTAAATCAACTAGCGTTTCATTTGCGAATTTAGGTGCGTTTAATAGTTGTTCGATAAGTGAAGACGCTACTAGCCGCGGTTTATCGAATCGCGCTATCAATGTAGACCACGCGAGTTGATAATTGCTGCCGCATACCGGTATGCCGGCTATCGCCTCTAGCGCGTTGTCTCGCAAACAACCTGTTAAGTAATAGAACTTGTCTATATCTGTAATATTGGGGCGCTGGTCGACCATAGAGATAAAACGGTCTCGGAAGGTCAACCACTTAAAAATATCACCGTGAAATATGGGCAACGGAATTTCCGGCAATCGTGCAAGTTTTAAGTTAGACACATTACGTACACATACATTTTCATTTTCAACCGGAACATTTGCCCCCTGTACCCCACGTGAGCTATTAAGTACAGCATCAGCATTACTATTGGGGGGGTTAAATACAATGTTATCCCCCTCAGGGATAGACTCATTCGCGGACCCATAATCTACGTGGGACGTGACAGACCCTTTACGCAATGACCTCTCAGCACTATGTTGATTTGTGAGGTAGCGATCAGCTGTAGCGCGGGAATACGACATCATTTCACGTAACTCTGCTACCTGATCAACAGAATACTCGGAATCTCGATCTAAATCCACTAAACAATCAATAACCGTATTACTCTCCGCTGTGAACGCTGTCCATAACTCTTTGATTTCAGCTAAAAGAACTACCAATTGGGGAACTAAGTCCTCCTCCTCAATGCAACGCTGCGCGAGCGCGTGTATCGCGCGTATATTTTTAATACACTCATTACGACGCAAGGTGGCCTTTTTAAGCGTGCGGTTAATACGGCGGGCCTCCTGATCGTCCATCGTAAAGATTTGTTATACAACAGAAAGATGAACTAGGAAAATATAGATATAATATAATAATAAATATACGCGATATAATACTATACGTATAAGTGCGTCGTACGTGACACCAAGAACCGGTGTCTGTTCACTATCGACAATCGATAACGAGGAGATAGATAATAATATGATAGATTCTATATACTAATGATTAGCTAACAAAATGACGAAATTATATAGACACCAGAGAAAAAAAACCCAATCACAATATGTCACACCGACCGGAGCGGCTAATTACCGTATGGATGGATATATAAAAGTTATAATACGAGATAAATGTAAAAAGTAACCACGCTCTGCTACCAGAAAATGTACCACAAAGGCTCCTGCGGGGGGTGGCGGTTGGCCTTAAATGGTGATGACAAAAGAAAATATATACTCGGGAAGTTAATACCCAAAAATTTATCTCGATAACAACTATAATAATATGGTGACCTGTAAAAGGGACGGGTGACCAAAAATAATAAATATAATAATACGAACAAGAACTTGTTTTTTCGCACCGTCGTGCTACAATAGTATATAATATAAATATTAAGATAATAAATTAGTAATAATAATAATAATAGTAACAAATTAGGGCGCCCAAATAATCTGACACAAAAAAAGACATCCGAATATCACCAATATCGAACGACGGATGTTGGCAAAGGCTGCGTGAGATCAGAACACCGGTATGGACCAAATGATAAACTGCCCATTAATGAACTCACAGCAAATAACTAGTAGGTGGATATATGTTCACATATATGTATATGTATTAATGTAAAGCGCAAATAACAGCTCTAAGACAGCACACCCGGACCACGAGGTTCGGCACGCACGTTATAAACATTTCGACCACGTCTCGACGATGTCGTACGAGACCAAGAGAACAAGAGTGTAAGTTACAGCGGTCAAATCAAAATCATACATATACAAGAGGAGGGCGACGATAAATCAGCAGACTTATCGCACCAAACAGTAATTGTTGTATATCTTGAGTACGATTGCTAGATTATATATTAAAAACGAAAATTTTGAAATTCAACATTTTCACCAATACTTCACACATAAAAATTCATCAATGAAAATATAAAAATTTATCACTTTTATTTGGTTTATGAATCTACTAAGGTACAGACTACAGACAAATCAAGAAAACACTTTGTCAGTGATGGAAGTTAACAATAAAAATCAATTAGACATAACGAATATCATATTATTAAATAATTATTTATTTATAACTCTTTAATACCTTATAAGAGTTTTATTTTAAAATCGCATACACAAATACTATCATAAAACGTTTGTATTTTAGGGTTTTAATGGATTAATAATTATTGATGAAAATACGTAATAAATGTGTTTTAATGGAGTATAAAATATTAAGTAGTGAAAACAAATGTATGGCCTTACTTAAATACAACAAGACGTTTCACTATAAAACATGTAAATAAAAGTAATAAAAATTCTTTTTGTTACAAATTATTTTTAATAGTAAATTGTATGTATTTTATTTAGGTTTATGAAAACTTAATATATGAGAGTAAGATACACTCGTAATTATTATAAATAACTCTTAAATTGAATAATTTAAACTTTATTATATTAAAATAAATAATATAATAATACATACTGGCAAACATTTTTCTTTATTCTCTTAAAAAAATATTAAATGAATGTTAGTGTTATTTATAATAGTTATTACGTTATAATTGATTTTAGGCAATAAGTTAAACAAAGTATAGAAATGAATTAATTTAAATATTTAGCTGAATATTTGATTACGTTGATATATGTATCGACGTTGACATAACGGACGCAACAATATTTTAAAAATATAAATTAGTTTTATTATTAATTCACTTGATAAAAATCAAACGTAGTATCGGAAAGTTTATGTATAATAATTTAAAGTATTTAAAAATAAAAATAAAAATAATCCAACGCTAAGTAAATGACCAATAATGGATGAGTAAAGGGTATACATTTTATTGATTTAATAAGTTCACAGTCATAGGAATAGTAAGAAAATCTAAAAACATTTAATTTGTGATGTGTAGAACAAGGATTTTGAAGACTTGCATTTTTTTCTTAATGTGATATGCAGTTTTAAACAGAAATGTAATTGGTGTCGTTGTATAACAATTTTTTATAATGTGTAATTTTTATTTTGTATTTATTATGTTAAATACAGTTGTATTTAATAGATAATTTTTACAAAATTTACGTTAATTTTGTGTATTTTAACTCATTTTTATTTATTTTTGTTTTTTTTTTTTTAATATGTGTTGTACCTATAAGGTACTCCCAATTATCAACACCAATCCATTGGTATTGAATAAATAATATAATTAATTGTCGGTTTATTCAATAAGATGAAATATCTAACATAGTTTGTACATCCCCGCGAACGTTTGCTTAAATTTTAACAACTTCTATTAAATTTTATACCATTTATACTACCTGTGTAAAGCGAATTAATGAAATACACGATCGATCGCACATGTTTAATTTTAGGTGATCATTTAAAATGCATCCGCACATGAACTATTCGCCTAGTGTGTAAGGGCCTTATAGGTATACTTTAAAAGCTTTATAGTTGTGAATATCAGAATATGACACGTAGGTACTTATGATTTTCTAAACCGATACTGAACACATAACATTATGAATAATATTAAAAAGATATTCAACTTTATAAATCTTAAAAATGCCAAAAACTAAGTCAACAGTTGAAAGCCGAAGTACAAAGTTTCTCCTCATATAAAAACATTTTATCCGACGCAGTTTCCTGTTTGAAAATATTAAGAACTATCAAATATTCTGGTTTCTGTAATCATTCTTGTTTAAGTTTTAATCTGATTTTATTACGTAGTTTATTATATTCTAACATTAGCTCGAAGATTTATTATCTATTTAACTATTTACGTCAATGTCTAATCAATATTTACATTGTTAATATACTATTGCTCAGATGTAAGCAAACTTAAAGTTTTGGCCGTGCCCGTCAAGAAATTGAATTATAAACGCATGAAACATAGTAAAATTATTACAATAATTAATAATATATTAATTATTATATACTTTTCAGTGAATATTAGTCATATTTATTCATTATTATTATTATTATTATTTCTTTTTTGACAGAAAAACTCAATTTAAAAAATGGTATACATGTACATACATTATGTAATAAATAAGAGATACTATAAAAATTATAGCAAGTAGGTATGAATAATATTAAAATTTACATTCAATTTGTTTACGCCGTCAGTATTTGCTGGAGCAGTTTGTTAGACGACACGCTCGATGTATGGGGATATGTATTACATTTTTTTTAGTAATACAGTTAATTAATGATTACTTTATCAGTATATCACGGTATAACAGATAATGAATCTACAATAGACGTTTCTTTGGACAATATTGGAATAATAATAATAACATAATAATATACATATAAAATACACTAAAGAAATACAATATGGAAATATGATATAAACAAATAATAATAAATAATAATACATTTAAATATATATAATAACGATGACGGTAGTCACAATTAACGGTCGAATACGGCAACGACGACGGATAAAATATCATGATTTAGGTCGTTGAACTCACCATGTCGTTAATTTGATGTACATTTTAAACACCAGACGCACATCATTTTACGTAATCGTATAAGGCACTTTAAACACGCACACAGAAAATATTAGTGCGTAATGCACATAAATCACGTGGTATTAAAAGGTACGCACAACGTCACGCCGACAAAAGTACCGGACGACGGTTGCGAAATAACAATAAAAGTAGAAACGGTCGCCGAAGAACTGGTGGTCTGAGACGTTAGTGCGAAAAACCTCATATTATGTAAAAACAATTAATATAGAAAAATACATATTATACAGTACCTATCTATTTAATTTTACAGCCATAATTAACAATTAACTAAAATTAATAACCATAGTATTTCCTTTATCAATCAGTATATTGGCAGGTGATTATTTTAAGTATGTTTTAAAACCATTATTAATTCAGGAATTTTTTTAATTTCTGGTAGATCTGTAATTAATAATAAAAAACGATTGAATTCGTTCCAAAAAATAAAGGTAATGTATACAGATATTTAAGGGTTTTAATAAAATTAAATAATAAAAGTTACTTTTATCTATGATTTTGTATTTTTATATCTGATACTTTTAAAGAAGTCGACCCATTCTTTAAATCAGGCTGTACATGCCTACATTTTATATTTTCAAGGTGCTTTTCTTTTCTTTTCTTTTTTTTTTTAACGATAGTTAGGTACTTGAAAAACCACGTCAAAATCAAATAATTTAAGTGCCTAATAACTAATAAAGTATTCTCAATTAATTACACGTAATGATTGAGACTGATAAAAGACAAATAATTATTGTTATATTAACTGAACACAAAATACGTATATTTTCGAAGTAGTTCAATGACTGAGCATAAATAAACATGTTAAAATGTTTACGTCACACTATACTGACGTCAATGATATTAATCTTAAACAATAAACATTGATTTAGTTTTAAAAATTGATGTTGTACTCGTATATATATTCTTATTATTTTTATCTTATTATGGGATATATTCAAAAACTAAAAGCTATATTATCTAATATAAACTCGACATTCTTATTGTATTTTATTCTAAATATATAACCATCTCACAAATTTACAAATTCGATATTGGTTTAAAACCCATCGTTTTCTGCTATGAAGTTTAAGTTCGTATATTTTGACAACATTTGTTAATTAAATAAAAACAGCTATCATTCGTTTAACGATTTTTATATTTTTTTTTTGTTAAAAGTATAAACCGTAGAACTTTCCACTACTGCGCATATTGTTTATGTTTGATAAACTCATACCTTTTTTTGGTATAAAACGTAGGATGGAAAATGTATACTAAAAAAGTTTGAATTTATTTTATGTACATGTTTATACTATTACTCACTTTGTTCTATACAATATTCCATTTCATTTAACAGGGGAGCTGTAATAAATGAAATAAAAAAACTGTATTATTTGATTCTATTTTCTTTTTCACTTGATGCATAATAAATATAAAAATACAATCAAAAATAAAAGTTCAACACGTTTAAAACAAACTTTATTATTAATTCGTACAAACACTTATAAAACCTGAAACATTTTAAGAATAATACTTACGCCTAGGTTCAAAACTTTTACATTCATTGTAGTACGCGTGTATATATTCTGTCAAAAATTATAAATATTATAAATAGTTATAATCTATATATTAGTTTCCTTATTTTTAACAGTATTTTTAAAAATATGTGTCAAATTCTACGTGATAATAATATAATACAAATGTTTTCATCAATGACAAATTAATAAAATTAGGATTCTTATTATGTGGACAAAATTATTTGGCTATCATTTATTAATTAATAACTGATACACTCAAACTTGCTTATCACAATGATAATATGTGAATATGTAATAACAATAAGTTATTTTTAAATTTAACTTATTATATTATCGTCTATATAACATTACAATTAGTTATCAAAAATGTTTGCCTGAATGTAGTTTGGGTATACAGTCGATAGTTGTAACAAGCAACAGGTTTTTTTAACCAACAAAACCCTGATTAATTGAATGATTTAAAACTTTGGTTATGATATATAAAAGATAATTGTCTATAGCGATTAGGTATCAAAATGCATTAAATAACATACCATAAATTTTATGCTCTTCCATTACTGAATCGCCATACTTATCTTTTTGCTGGAAACAAAATAAAACACAATAAATCTTTGATTTGTAATTTTAGCAATAAAATTCCATGAAATTGAAAAAAATGAAGATTTTCTCCATAATCATCATTGCATAATTTCAAAAAAACAAAAAAAAAATACTGAACTACAAAAAGCAGAATGTGAGTTAAATTCTGTTTGTTACTAATTATTCAAATACCTATCTAAAGTTAACAACATCTTCTTTTGTTTAACATTCATTGTGTGAAACTTGTTGATAATCGATAATGATTAATACCTAGTTTTTTCTAGTGTCTTACTTCAATGGTTATACATATACAGTAAGTATTTAAATTCATTAAAGTAACATCTAAAGCGTTTTTTTTTTTTATTTTATCGTCTAATTGGAATGTGTTATTGACATACTGAATAATAAAATTAATTATGATATCGTTATCAGGTATCATTTTTATAGTTGGTTAGTCGAAGGAATGTTTATTAATACAAATAGAAATTAGTTTCAAATGTTAAGACAGATGTAAATAAACAATTTATAGAACTATACTTAAATTATGGTAAATATCATCCGTATTTTAAAGAAATATTTTGAAGAAAAAAATATTGAAATTGCTTTGAAAATTATAATTGATTTATTATAATATTATTGTTCTCATTCTCATTTACAAAGTCTTAAAAAATAATCAATACTATGCTAGCGTTAATTTTTTAATATGCTAATTAGTTTCTAAGGTTTTCAACTAAATAATTTATAATATTACATTTTGAAAGTTTTGATTTAATGTGTATTGAGTGTAGATTATTTCTTATAATTATTAATTTCGTTTTATAAACATTAAGTATTTATGTAGATATTAAAAGAACTATAATGACTGTTTGATTTTTTATCATAAAAATTAAAAACAAAAAATTATATATAGTTTAGATTTAAACAAGACAGTTTAATTGATGAGTATAACATTTTAAATAAATTTACAAAACTCACCTCATTTAATATATCTTCGTTTAACATGTATTTCATACTTTTATTAAACGAGGTGAATCCATAGTTAGCTAATATTTCATGATTATTATCCGCAAATATGAGTTTAAAAAAAAAAAAAATGTTAAATTGTATTCATTTATTATATAGATTTACGATATATGCTGTATAGGGTGTAACAGTATATTATATGTTTTAATATTATTTTAAGCGTAGGCATCAGAAATATTTTAAAGATATAAACTGTAACCTCACAAAATTACTTACCATCCATCATTGCAAGAGCGTAATTTATTAGTGGCACGGAATCTACATTAGATGCATATAATTCATTTGACGTTTATTACTTCCTTATATTATACGTGTTTATATGTATCGCAAAATTTTAATATTAACATATATTGAATACACATAATATGTAATAATTAGGGTTGGGAATTTGTAGGAAATGTATTTTTTAAACTGATTGTAAATTTTAATTATGCTGTAACAAAAAATCCATTTATGAAACTTTTCTTTTGAATTATTGGACGTTTTAAAAATTTTGGATCATATTTTTATTTTAATTAATTTTTTCGTATTTTTAATCAAATTCTGTTAATTATTTTTGAGAACATATTTTTTATTTACACAGGCTGTATGCACGTTAAATTTATAGTTTACACCAGCTGTATGCGAGTTAAAGTTAATAATTCGATAAAATAAGGCAATATTGCTATTTATTTGAGGCATATCAGTAAATCATTCACAAATTTCCAGATCAAGTTGGTTGATTAATAATTTTAGTAGTTTATTAACGTTAAGTACCTTTTCGATGTTTGCTATGATACTAAATTTTTATCATTTTAGGTGCATATATTATTGCATTTTTGAAATTTTAAAAGAATTTTTGAAGGTTTATTCATAGTTTTAAATTCACAGATCTGGTAATAATTATAAAATAATTACAACTATTTCATATGATTAAATATATTATAAAAATTACAAAAATTGGTCTGCTAACATTTAATTTTGTTACTATAAATTAATATAGGTACTTACAAATAAACCCGACTACTTTTAAATTGTCTGTTATTTTGTTTCCAATATTAAACATATAATATAAGTAAACATAAAATTGAATTAAAAAATATTTTATGAAAATTATAGAATAATTTGGTAACTACTTTGATGTATATTTATTGTTTGAATGTAATTCATCAGTTATCAGCAGGGCTCGGGATTTAATGCGCATACATAAACATAATAAAATATAAATTTTGAATTTGACACCCTTATAAGTATAAAAAAAAAAATATGAATCGAATCCGATTTCTTCTATCTATTTCTTGAACAAATGTATAAATGCATAAAGTCCCAATTCCTGGTTATCAGTTTATCAGTATGTCACTGTAATGTATATGTCTAATTTGAATAAAGAAAATAAATATTTGTAAAAACGATTCTAAGCAAAGATGATTTGCCACTATATATTTTATAATACATTAATATTCAAATAAACTCTTTAATAATAATAATAATAATAGAAATGGTAAGTTAAATTGATTTTTACCAAAATAATATATTATAAAAATGTCATTGTAAGTAAGAAATTTAATAATATGCGTCAGACGTTTCAAGTAGTCCTGAATAATATTTTTTAATTTGAAAAAAATAACTAAAATAGTGAATCTTTTTTAAATATATATATTTATGGAATTGAACTTAAAATATTATTTACCTTATGTGTATTTTATTTTCAGTTTTATTTGTTTTTACAGTTGCAATGATATGCTTACATATCATTGTTTATTACATATACATAAAATTCAATCAAATAAATTAACGGTTAAGTTATCGCACGCAGTCTAAACTCTATAAACATCCTTTCGCCACTGATAAAAGAAAACGACTTATATTATATGGTCACAAGGGGATTGACACGTGGGTTATAACAATGCCTCGCAAATCGTATGAACCAATTTCGTTAGCTATCAGAGACAAGCCATGGAACAATGAATCTCTCTGTCGTCTAGAAGAAAGACTATTTCTTCGAAAAACGCTGAGTCATTTTTTTGAAGGCATCGCCTGCGACTCTGGCTGGCTTGACCAGGTCGTCTTCTCTCAGCAGTGCACGAGTACCAGCTAAGCCATGAGTGCATGAGCACCAGCCAAACTATCGAGTGCATGAGCACCGACAAAAATGATGAGCGAGGGCGCACCAGACAAACGAGCAGGAGCTCTTCTCAAAACTACCATACGACATACACACAAGACTCTGCAAGCGACAGCTGGAATTCTTTCTTTTCCTGAGTTAAATCAGTGTTGTTTTTCTTATTTAAATTTAAGTTTTCCTTAAGCCATATCGAAGTTTGTGTCACATTGCATCGTTCTCCGAAGAACGTACTATAAGTATTCACTGCGGCGAATTAGGCAAGGTCCATGTCTAAAATACTAGCTGTTAATACAGGTTGTTAGAACGATACAAAGAAAAGAAAGAAAAAGAAAACACTCTGAGTTTTAAAGTTTAACTATATTATAACAAAACAAAGGTGCGGAAGAAGCTGCACGACGCCACGACACGACGGAGCACGACAGGGGAGGGGGCTTATCGAACGGTGTGTCGACCGATGCAATGCCGGAATTACTCTGACTATTGCACCACAGGGTAGGTGACTGATCGATGCAATGCCAGAATAACTCCAACCATTGCACCATTGACCGAGTCACAAACCGTTCGATAAGTATGGTCTGGGAAGCCGCCTTTCCTGTTTGTGCAAGTCTGCCCGGGTGGGTCTTACTACAAAGTCGGAAAGACGGAGAATGGTATTGATGGTCGTGTCGTGGGGCCTTTTATACCCGGTCTATCGGCAATTACATCGGGTCGGTCCCGTGTTCTGTAACGAAAAGCACGAAAAACCCAATCGTTAACTGCCGATAGTCGTACAATTTTCGGGATCAGTGCAAATGTCCATAATCCTCCACGCAAATTACCCAAATCATAATTCAGATAACAAGCATGGTTAAACAGAGAATTGCTATCACAAAAATGGTCGGTAGCAGCGTCAAATGTACTGCGAGTTTCGACCAGTATTCGTTATTATTTGCCAGATGGGTAATTATCGTTATGATTACTAATAATGAGTAACTCCATCAATAACTGTTTACAAACAATTTTAGTTATTATACATTTCTAATATTATGTTAGATATAAACCGTTACATTTTATATGAATTTCTAACCACAAAATAATTTATACTTTTCGAGATTTAGACGAATTCTATAGAAAATTTTAATTTAAATGATTAAGAAAAAGTTATATAAATATAAATGTTCAATCTTATATTCTAAGAAAATTAACAACGAATTGCTCCCCTTAGAATCTTAAAACAAACACCATAGCAAAAACAATTATTCGTTCATTGCTTTAAATAAAATCGAAAATTTTATTGGAAAATAAATCACTATAGGAAAATAATGTATAATTAAGATTAAAATGTAGGTACAGAATAAAAGTTAAAAATTTAAGTTTACATATCATAAAAGTATGACTAGCACAAAAGTTTAGATAATTTTATCATGGTTATGCTATACAAATAGACTGAAAATTGTGTAAACAAAAATTTACTGACATAAAAAATTGTCTTACCAACGCATCCTAAAAAATAAAATAAAATAATTTAAACTTAATAAATATGAATACGTAAATTTTAATATAAAATAAATTTTGAAATATTATAAATTATGTTATGTAGGTATATAATACGATAAACCCATTTTATCATAGTTATGTAATATCTATTAATAATTTGTAAAATATATTAACTATAATTTACTGATTTAAAATCTATTACTATCGCATTCTGAAAACAAATATTAAATCTGCATTAAGTTTATTATTTGATACTTAAAATGTGTTTAATATTACGTATATTATGTGTTCTAATATAAAATACTATGGTTGATCGTGGGATTTATCAATTACATATTGTGAATACTTTATAATTAATTAATGTTAAAGTCTATGAACTTTTTACATTTCACGTAATTATATTTTTTGTTTAAATTTCATATGACTTAATATTCTGTGTTTTATTTTATTTACTCATATGTAAGTATGGTGATATGTATATGAGTGTGAACACTATATTATGTGTAAACATGGATTGTACTGTGTAATTTTACAGTATCTTTGTATGTGAACAAAAAAATATTTGAATGTGGTTATGTAGTGCACATACAGTCGTCTTTGGTAATGCAGAGACACTTAGGTCCACAGAGTTTTAATGTTCTTATACCATTAAAAATAAAAAAATAAAACTATTGTAGACTTATTGCATAAATGATGTATCATCCGAATTATATTGTAATTAATTGATTTTTAAATACATATTTAAAATGTTCAAGTATTTTAATACTGTCCTATTATTCAATATTAAAATCAATCAATATAATTTATATTCCTAAATTAATAAACTAGAGAATATAATATGTATAACTGGACGGTGTTTGTGAGAAAGGGCATAAGTCATTTTTTGACATTTTCATATTATACATTAATTTAGTAGGAAATTTCACGCTCTATCGTTTGGTGCAACTGTAAATATTCTATTTATTGTTTTTACCGAAATACATCTATGTGCGTTTAGACATAATAAAAAAAAAAAAAAAATGTGTTTGTGAGAAAGGGCACAAGTCAATATTAATATGCATAATTATTAAACTAAAATCAGTGCATTGTTGCCGTGTATAGTGTTTTAATAATAATATTTTAATTGCTGCAAAGATATTTTAATAATATTATTGGTAGCTACTAACATCTAATTATGACGTCTAAAAGAAGTAAACAGTTATTGAAAATGGTTGTTGGTAAGTACTCTATTAGTTTATTATATTACAATATTATCTTATAATATACACTTATAAATAATAATATTACTTAATTTTATTACGTATTCATCATTTATTCTTATATTTAAATTAATAGACAATACTGATGGGGACTTAAAGATTAAACCAAAATTAACAGAAATTTGTCGAAATTTAAATCATCAGTTTGAATCTGAATACAAAAAACAAAAAACAATAGTAAGTGTTTGTCATGAATTAAAAGTATATCATTAGTCTAGGGCTGGGATTTGTAAGTAGATACATAATTTTACAAAAACATAATAAATTAAGTACCTACTGCAAATGTTAAATTAATTTCACGTGATTTTCAATAAAATAAAACATATTTTATTTTACATGTTTTTACATATTTTGTCAGAAATACATATTTTAACATTATTTGTAAAATTTCTGCATTTTATTTTACAAATTTCGTAAATGTTGACAATTTTCGTGGTTTAGTAGTATTATACATTTATACTTTGATAATAGTACTCGTGAAAATTGTAAGTGTATAATGCATGTATGAAATAAGTACATGAAAATATTAGTTAAATATTAATAACTTGTTTATAGTTTATCTTATTTGTTTCTATTCAATAACTATACATTAATGATCTTAGATTATACTTTATGTTCATTAATTATTAGACAAAATATATTTTCGAATTTTCAAAAGTGTCAGTACTTACGTTCACGTGGTTGTGAATACATCTTTATTTTTATATTTTTTAAATTAAATTGATTAAAAATTAAAAACAATTAATTGTATACTATTAAAAAATTATTTAGAATTTTATTTTGATTTTACACGTTAACATAATTTAAAATTCACTTCAAAATAATAATATATCAATTCCAAAAGCATATAACGATATCGTATATATCACTGAAGAAAATAAAAAGGATCTACTTTCTCTTTTAAAATATATTCCTGAAACTTTTCATAGTTTTTATCAGAATTTAAAAACTAAACAAAATACAAATGACCCTATAGTGTCAGATGAAGAAAATGATTAATTTATTTATGTATTTTATTTTTAATCATATCCTGAGATTTTAAAATTTTAATTTAGTTATCAGTTTACTTATATAATATTATATTCCTACATTATTTTTAATTTCTATTTATTTTTTTAAAAAATGTTTTAAAAAACTACTTATCAACAGTTATGTTTGTAATTTTTATTTTTTGTTTAAGGTTAAACTAAAGTATTTTAATAGTTAATGATATATTGTATAAATTAATAATTAAAAAAAGTTTATGGAGTTATACTTATTTTTATTTTACTATTATATTAGTTTTGTAATATATTTTAATAATTTATAATTATTATGTATTATTTTATTTATGTTATTTGTGTTACCTAAAAATAAATTATTTTTATAAATGGTGTTGAGTTATAAAAATGGTAGTACATAATACATATTGCTAAAAAAACATTACAGTATAATATTATTATTTTATTTATGACATGTGTCCTTTATCACAATAATTATGATTTTATTTATGTGCGATTAGATACAAGTCAGTATGTGAGAAAAGGCACAAGTCATAAAATTATTAAATTCAATGTGATAATGGTCACAAGTCATTTAAAATAATGAAACGATAAATTAAAATTATTATCCCTTGTTCTAAAAAATCAAATAAAATATAAATTATATAAATTAAAAAAAATTAATTAACAATAAGCAAAACATTGCAAATGAAACGTTTTTCCTGTCTCCTGAAAACTAGTGAATTTTGACTTGTGCCCTTTCTCACAAACACCGTCCAACTATATAATACATAGTAACTATAATTTATTTATTTATTTATTAAAAAATTATCGGAATATGCTCTTTGAATACAAATAGATAAATAAATACAAATATCGGAATATAATAGTAATGGTTGTGTGAATAACAATAGTTATAATAATAATACAATAATAACATTCATAATGACAGTAAAAAACTAATTTAATAATTAAAACAACAGAAATTATATTTTGACAAAAAACAAGGGATCTTCATTTAGCAGTATAATTATTATATTAAAACTTTCAATTCATTATTCAACATCTCATTTCCTCTTTCGTTGTGTCAATTTCAAAAACGATCACTAGATATTTGAGTTTGATATACATAGTCATACTATGAGATATTTGGGTATTCACATAAATTCGTCACAGATTAAATAAGTGTCGGTCATAATTTTCGAAGGCGCGTGAGGCCTACAGGGTTTACTCGCTCATCGTGTGATCTTAGGATAAAATAAATGGAAAGGTATAACATATTTGATCAATATTTATTATTTTATAGAGTTTTTTTTGTAACTTATTAATGTATAACCTATTAAATATTTCATGTGAATTAATCATTACTAGACATCAAATTGAAATTTAATTTTACAAATCAATACCATTAAAGTCTACATTTTGATCTTTAATCTTAGTAATAAATTGTGTCAGTAAGTAGTCTTCTGAAAATGTTAAAATAAGTTCATGATACTTAAACGAATGAGAATTAAATAGTTATTGATAACTATGATCTTAATAATAAAATTGCAAGAATATTATATATTATTATTATCATTATATGGTACTATTAATATTATTATGAAGTTTTTTATTCCTATCATTTGGTTATACACGAAGACTAAATAAACTAAATTAAAATTGATATTGTGTGAATTTGTGTTGTTTCATTTTGAAATACCTAACCTTAGTTTTACTTAAAATTTTTTAATCCTCTTTTTCAATTATTTAGAAATAGGTACAATATTTATAAACTAATTGTTATTCGTTACCATTTTTAATTTCCTCTGCAGTATAATCACAGCGGCTTACATATATTGTAAAAGTTAATATTATTAAAACTTTATAATATGAAATCATAGTTTTTTTTTTTTTTTTTGATAATTACAAAGATATATCAACTTAGATAATTACAACTTTTTTTTTCAAAGAACAAATTTAAAATGATCGCATTCAACTTAGGTACTATGACACCATATACACTAAAAGAGTGCCTATTTCTATTGGATTATATACATTAAGACAAATAAATAAATGTTTTATGTATTTATTTCAAAGACATCTGTTTTAATAATCAAAATGAAAAAATATAATGTGAGATGCCACAAATGGTTAAATGGTACACATATGTGTGAGAAAAGTTTAAAATATGAAAAAAAAATTGAAGCTAAACTAAATTCTTAAACTCTTAGATTTTATTAAAGGATATGATCAGTAAAATTTAATATTTATTGTATATTTAATCATATTTTAATTTAGATTATTTGGTTTCACACAGTTGAAATGTCTTGGTAAGCCTCAGCTTTTTCTCGTCATACAATAGTGACATGACTATAAGCTGTTATTGAGTTTACATTCCGAATATTTTTACACAACTTTTACTTTTTTTATTTTATAATTTATGAGGTACATATCATACATACCAATAATTATCAATTATTTTACCATTATTATCAAATTACTGGTATTTGTTTTAAGTATATTCTCAGTTTCTTAATTAATTTTTATTGTTTATATTATGTATTATATAGTAATACATATTATTTACATCAGTTTATCAGTTTAGGTACATAAATTATATTGCTTGATTTTTATATTGTATATAACTATAAAATTTAAATATTCAAATATATATTAAATATGTACTTGAGAATTATTCTGACAAATAAAAATTTAATTCTATTACAATACGGTATTACATTATTTATGCAATAATTATACAGTTTTATGTTTTATATTTTCTTACATAAAAATTCCGGATTAATTGGTCTATGATATAAGCATATTTTTTGTTGATTTTATTATAATTTTTCACGTTTTTTTTTATAAATTATTCAGACATATTCACAACAGCAAAAATAATTTTGTTTAGCAGTAGTAACGCAAATTAATACTAGTAGTATATTATTTTCCTTTGATCAGCCGGATGTTATAATGTTCCTAAGTCTTATAAGTTTTTATAAATTTAAATTTAAATTTTCTTTATCAATCATCATATATTAATACACTAAAAATATCACAAAGAACTTTAGAATTATTTTATAGTTTTTTCATCTAAGGTAAGATATCTTTTTTAAGATTAGGACCTTTATTTTGAATATTAAAAAACAAAATTTAATATATTTAATTTAAATATTACTAATAATTTATCTGTATTTGCATTGATAATGCGAAAAATGTTTCAGGAAAATTAAAGCAATAATTAATGAGTATTTACATTAAATTTTACTAAAACGTAATGATTAAAGATGTCGGTTACAAAATATTACACCTAAGGTGACTTTACTAATATGTATATTATTTAACCATATCAAATAAAATAAGTTATGTTTAAACAACATATGGAAAGTTATTTTATTGACACAAATGTGTTTCACGTGAGGTTACCATTGTCACAATTTTTTTAATTGAAAATGTTATTGAATTTGAAAAATAAAATAAAAAGCGTGTTAAATTGTATTTTAAATAATATTTTAATTGGATAGGAAACATGATAAGTATTTAAAACCACAAATAAAATACGATCAGGAGAGAGACTGCAGTCGTCATCATAAAACTTGAGACACAGAGTGAAACTATTGTATTATTAGAGTGGCGTACGGGAAAAACAACGAAAAAGATTTTTCATTAAATTTGTTAAACATTTTTCATTCGTTCAGATCGTTTTATGAAAATAAAAGTGTAATCGGTCGTAGACATTAATAGGGAAGCCTTAATAATAATGTACTGTGTTAGTGGTGCTTTTTATATAAATTCATAGAGGTACATTATTAGGTATCACTATTGATGACGTTTTTCATAGTCTATCTACGTTGTCTGGTGCTAAAAATGTTGGTCCTGATGGGCTCCCCGGCGTTTTTCTATTTCATTTGCATTCTATTATAGCCTATCCACTATTTTTGTTGTTCAGACGTTCTCTTGATGAGGGAGGTTATTTTTCCCTCAATTTAAACTCAGTTCTGTCACGTCAGTGCATAAATCAGGTATTAACTGATATTTTCTAATTATAGACCTATTTCTATTCAGTCTCACCTATCATAACTATTTGAATCTTTGGTTTTAAACAGTATCAAACCATCAGTAAATAATATTTTTATTGAAGACAACATGGTTTCGTCCGAAGATCAACTACTCATGCAGTCTGTTTTCCAATTTGTTTTAATTTTAAAACGGTTCCGTTGATGTAGTTTATACTGACTTAGCCAAAGCGTTTGACACCTGTTAATCATAGAGTCTTACTGAAAATTTTGAAGCGTCTGTTTGCAGTCCTTGCTCATGGTTTGGTTCTTTCTAACGAACAGGCAACAATGGTAAATTATTTGGTGTCAAATCAAACATCTTTTCGTCTCACGTCTGGTGTTCCCCAAGGTGGACATTTATCATCGATTCTTTTAGTTTCCATGTCATGGTACGTAACGCCTTGCCTTGTGTCAGCTTTTGTGTCGCAGATGATTTGAAACTCTTTATTGAAGTCAACTCAGCTGCTGACTGCGCGAATCTCCAAGGCTACCTTGATTGTTATGTTAGTTGGTGTTTTAAAATAGGCCTTAAAGTCAATGCTTCAAAAACTTGAACGTGTTCAACATAGATTTTTGAGATTTTGTTGTTTTGTGTTAGGCATTCCCCACTTGGCTCACGACTATACCAATATCGCTAACGTACTTGGCCTGCCTACTCTTGCTGAACGAAGAAGAACTTTAAACTTAAAATTTATTCGTGGTCTAATTATTAACCATATTGATTCCCCTTGCTTGCTTTCCCAAATTAACTTTAAAGTCTCTTCGCATATATCTCGCTCTCATGTGACCTTCCATATTCCTAACGCCAACACTAATTATCTGCAAAATGAGCCTTTAAGACGAATTATATCACTTGCTAATGAAGACCCCTCTTTTGATGATAATTTGTTCTAATGTTCTTAAACTCTGTTTTAACTTTTAAGTTTAATATATATGTTTTAATCGCTTACTTAATTATTTAAATGAATGTTTAATTAAATTGTAATTCTGTTATTTACATATAATATTTTATTTAATTAAATTTTCTACTATTATTCTAATAAATTGTATTGTACTTTAATGTTAAAGGGGCAACCCGTATATTTTTAATAAATAAATAAATAAATATACAATAGTCAATAATACAGTAAAAATTGTGTACGTCGATAATTTAACATTTGTAAAATTTCATAGAATTGTTCATTTGTAATATGAAAAATTGGATATCTTTACATATATTTTAATTGTTTTAAAATAATACATTGCCCTCACGATGGAAATTAACTATTAACTTCTTTAGTATATTTTATCGGACAACAATTAATTCGTACATCTTTTTTGATGCTACAAGTATTATGTATATAATTTCTTTTTTTTTAATTAATCATAATTAACATTGATAGTAATGGCCTTAAGTTATGTAGTTATTTTTAATTATCAGTAATTAATACCATAAAAAATATAATACCCTGACCACTAAAAAAATTCACAGTTGTTTGTATCATTTTTTTTTTTTTTGCATATGGCGCTAATGTCCGGGAGTAGGCCTAACGTTAGTAACCTAACGCTTTATTTGGCAGAATTTCTAGTGGGCACCTGTAGGTTTCTTGCCATGCCCAGGTAGGTGGAGGCGGTGGCTTCTACCACCAGACACCGTGACTGCCTGAAGAGTGACGCCGCCCGTGACTGGGATTCGAACCGGCGACGGTGCGCGACGCAACCGACGCCTATGCCCGCTCGGCCACTTCACCTCCGTTAGTATCATTTAACAAAAAACTTCCATAAAAAAGTAAACGTAATGGGTTTTGCTTCAAGATATAAAAATGATGCTGATTTTTCAATATTTATAAAAATGATGGTAGCTCTTTCATTTGTTCCTATCGAAAACCTAGATGCCGCTAGGTATACAACAATTAGGAGATGATTTACCAGAAGGCTTACAACCTTTACTTGACTGTGTTGCGTCCGTTATGTCAACGTCGATACATATATCAACGTAGAAATAGAAATACTAATGTTTGCAAGTTAAAAGATTAAGTCTTTATTTAATACAATTAACTCGTACAAGAATACAATTTTATAAGCACAAGATGGTGTGAGTGGTGTTACGACCTGCCTCTGAGCGTTTCGAATATCCCTAACCGTCTGCTGAGCTCTTGCCCTGGTCTCCCTTATATATGGTTAACCGTCAAGAGTGGTGACTGAGGAGGTGGTGACTTCCGATGACCTAAAGGAGCTCTCTAAATTAAATGTATTATTCAGTTGGGTGCCTTTCCTGCGATTTCATCGGTTCTAAGAATTACAAGACGTGTGATCAAGTCTTGATTGTCATATTAAATAGTACAATGTTAACACTATCGTTTACTCATCATTTCTGAGAAGTCCAGGACGTGTGATCATGTCTTATTCATTATATTAAATATCACGATGTGCAGGTGATCGCCATAGCCATTCGATACTACACTGTTTGAATATGTTATTCCATTCGGTATACACATCACCTCTCCGTATAATATATATGTGTAAAATAACATGGTACGTAACAACTGGTTTGAGGACAATTATGTTAGAAGGGTTAATAGAAACGAAAGAGGTCGTCGGACAGTGTTATTCCCGCCACACAATTGGAATTTATACTTACGAGTTTTGAATGGTCAAATAGGACTAATAACCATGCTGAAGCAGCTAATAGATGACTAAATGTCGAAATGGGGAGTTCAACATCCTAGTTTGTGGTCTTTCATCGAATGCTTGCGAAAAGTACAAGCTGGGTGAGATGTATTTTTTAACTAAGGAACTTGAAGCTAGTAAGAGTCCACCCAAAAAACTAAAAAAATTTATTAACGCAGATAACCATATTTTAAAAATTGTTCAAAGTTATGAGACTAGAACTAAGATATCATTTTTACGCGCAATAATAAGATAGGTAATATAATTAATATGCATAATTATGTTTCTTAAACATTCATACATTTTTTGATATTGTATTTTTATTTTTTCGTATATATTGTTATGGCCTATGATAGTATAATAGTATATATAATATAATATGTAATATTGCTAGAAGCATAATAATCCATTATAATTTATCATCATAATGGCAGTTGTTAAAATATCGAGGTCGTTTAAATGTATTTTTGCATTTCCACAAATTGCCAATTAAGAACAGAAGACATCCTGGAGATTGTTGTTTTTAAATGTGAAAACAATTCCAAGAATTAATATCAATTAGAAGGTTATTGACTACAACAACAAGAGACTTCTTTGTATATAAGGGAGTCCAGAGGCCAACAGAGGCAGATGTACCAGAGCCACGAAGACCTGAGCACCCTCACAACACTCAGCCACTTTTTGTATCAGTTACATGAACTTTATTTATACGTAATAAACACATTATTGTTCTTAAGAGTTGTAAATTTCATTTAAATAACAACCAGAGTCTGGATCTGATATTGGCACGCAAGAATATTATATAAAAAATAAATTCGTATTTTAGATATATTTTAAATTTTAATAATGTATATAATAAATTACTTGTATATTTAAATATTTTATTGTTTTTGACGTATTATAATAAATATAAATAGCTTATTAATTTTATTTAATGAAGATTAAACTGATTTAATTGACAGGTATATAACTGATTTATATATAATTTTTTTTTACGTCCAATTGTCCCCACGTCCTAACGGCCACGTCCAAATGGCTACGTCCATTTGTCCTAGATCGTTCCGCCAAGTAGTAGCCGTTTGTTTAAGTTACACGCTACTGGTGGGGTTCTCCTTCCCATCGTATGATCCCATATATAATAGCATCCCATTATATGTGATAGGACCGAACGAGGATATCGTCGGCCGAACACGAGCTTTCACTGCGTCAGTCCGCTATTGTAAGCTTGGCTTACGCACCCGCAAATTTCACTACTCCCATATATTGAACAAATATTGAATAATATATTAATTTTATAAATAAAAACTATACACAAAACCTACAACTAAAGTAAATTTATTTCTATAAAGAACGAATGGTAACGAAACTTACCATACCATATCAGGTGTAATAATAAGGTATAGTTTAATAACTACAATTTTTTTTTTCGTAATACACAATTAAAAAAAATAATAATAATATATTACACAAAATATCATAATCCAATAAAAAATAATAATAGTAAACAGTTTTGAATTATAAGTTATAACGAATAAAACAACTTTTTTACATAATATTATTTATACAAACCAATTAAACAGAAATATTAATAATAATTAATTTTAATTTTTACATATTTTCGTTTAGCCTCGCATTAGTTAATGTTGTTAATAATAAAAAGAAATAATTTTTTTTTCTGTTTTTCATTTTATAATAAATAAAAATAATTATGATTAACAATAATTAGTCAAGAAACAATAAACTTTTTCTGCCTTTTTCTTTTGGTTATATACATTAAAACAAATAAATAAATATTTTATGTATTTACTAGCACCGGTGAAACTCGCTGTAAGTGAATACCCTAGGTCGGTAAAACTCGCTGCATGTGAATACCCTAGGCCGGTAAAACTCGCTGTATGTGAATACCCTAGGTAGCTGAAAATCGTTTGAAGTGAATTTCCTAGGTCGGAGACGGGACTTTAGAATATCGCAGTTAAAGAAGTCTAGTGGGCGAAACCAGTGATAACGACGTTTGAGACGTTGGTTGGTACCTCTGATTTGGTGGCTCAACACTTTGGCGGTGTCGTTTTAAATTTAAACGCGTAAGTAATAATAAAAGTATATATAAAAGTCCAATTCGAGCGTCTAGTGGTCGGTCATTTCATTAAATTCACAGGTGTAACACACCTTGTCCCGTAGCTTTCCCTGTGCTTTTGTGTATGGAGAAAATGAATAAATACATTTGGAAAACGGCAATTGAATAACTATGTATCAGTCATTTCCAAGGTTGTTTGGGCAATTGGATGCATTTCCCGTGGCTTGCCCGGTACTTTTCACATATCTAAAATAAATAAACTCTGAAAACGGTATTGAGGGTCTAGCTATCAGTCATCGCCTTTAAACGCATTTAAACTTGCCAGACAGGCAATCCGACCGCGTACAATGTTGGCATAAAGGGGAAATTGTACATGTATTAAGTATACAACGGGATAAATGCATTATGCCAAACGTTAGAAAGGTGTAGATATACATAAATATGTATACATTTCTAATATGTAGTGAGTAATGTGTGTTCACAAAATCCACCTCGAGTCCAAATTGTTATTGTCATTATTTTGTAATCACAGTACCCAACTACATTAATATTTATTCAAAGACTTCTGAGTATCAAAAAACAATGATATTAGATTCCTATCGGCTATCAATCACATTAATATATTATTGTTTATGTTAAAAAAAAAAAGAAGTAAAAATAAAAACAAAATTATATTGTATTGTAATGTAATTGTATATAATATAATTATTGTGATATATTATCATATTTATATTCTTTCTTTGATATACATTTTGAATACCATGTTCAGCGTACACAATTGAAATTAATGAAAGCGTATGTATCGTAAAAACAAACAAATAATAATTAAAAGTTATAAAATATGTATATATGTATGTAAAATATAAATCTGAAATACAATTATTAATGTAATAATATTCACAAATTAAATGTTATAAAAATAGTGTTAAGTTAAATACAAATGTAGTATGTTTATAAGAAAAAAAACTGATTATAATATAAAAAATAATTAAAATTTATGTTTTTTATTAAAATTATTGTTGAAATTAATAGTGTATAATGAATTTGTTTATATTTAAAAACAAAAAAAAAAAAAAAAAAAAAAATGGTAGTTTCACATTAGTTACAAAAATTTGCTACAAAGTTAATTTGCATCCAGAGGGAACCCACATGGAGGTTATTGAAGTTTCTCGTTGTCAATGTATTTACAGTCCATATACACTCTGTATTTGATTTTTTTTTTTTTTTTTTTGAACCAAAACTTTACGTATCAAGTTACTTGTTCATTGGCAGTGAGACACATTAATTAATTGTTAAACATACAAAAGTTATTATTTATTAACATACATGATTCATTAAACTGATATGTGTGAGATGAAATCTGAAACATAAAGTAAAATAAAAAAATTACCAAAAATACAAATAAAAACAAAATCTACTGCAGTAGTAAGTGTACTTACAATAGTTGCAATTGTATGCGTAAGATAAAAAACTGAAAAATAAAATGATAAAAAATTATATTACTAATATGTATATATTATATTATTTAAAAAAAAAAATAGAAAGTTTAATAATATTTATTGATTGGTTGTTTGACATTAGTTACAAATTATCTCCAAAGTTAATTTGCATCCAAAGAGAACCACGTGGAGATTGTCAAACTCTCTCTCCGTCATTGAATTGGCTGTCCATAGGTGACCTGTAATCAATCATCAAAACATAAATAAATAATGTAAAAGAAGAACTTTACATAGATCAGACAGTGGTCACATAGGTTTACCATGGATTACAAAGATCTGACATGGATCACAAAGATCTGACATGGATCACATAGATCTTACATAGATCACATAGATCTGACATGGTAAACCACACTGTCGAAACAATATCATTTCATAAATAAATATATTGTTGTTCCAGAAGAAATAATATATCTCCTAATATTCTTCTAATAATAATGATTTTTAGAATACTTTTGATTGATTAGATATTATAATTATAACAGAAAAATTTTCTTATGTATATACACATACATTTTTACCATAACCAATCAATATATTTAAATAAGCATCAATTCGTGTTGCTTAGAACACTTCTCTGTAGACAATATTTTTTGTGACAAATCTACCACGATCGTCACCGTACATACCAATTCTAATTGATTGCGAGTCCCTCACACGCGAAAACGCCACGTACAGTTGTCCGTGCGTGAAAACCGGTGAAGACAGAAGCAATCCTACTCTATCAAAAGTTTGACCTTGTGATTTGTTAATGGTCATCGCAAAAGACAGCCGTACGGGAAACTGTACTCGTCGCATTATGATGGGCAGTTCATCTTCTCCACTGGATGTGAGAGGCATCGCAGGTATGACAATGTCTTCTTGTGCATTACCAGACAACATCCTCGCCTTAAAGTTGTAACGTCTCAGTTCAGTGACGACCAACCTTGTGCCGTTGCAAAGTCGCCTCTTTGAATCTAGATTCCTCAACAACATGACAATTGAACCTACTTTCAGGGTCAAGTTGTACGGAGGCAATCCGTCTGGTTCTAGAGTATTGAGGAACTCTGTCGGATAATTGGCTGCCTCAAAATTTTATGTCCCAGGAACGATGAATTTGCGTCAATGCACGGTGCTGTTGCAACGCACGACGGTGCATACAGAAGCTACACCGCCACGTCAGACATTGTGGTAG